TCTTTTCATTGCTGATTCGGAAAGAGTGAAAGGCCACTGGTAAACAATACCTCATACAGGAATAGTCTTCAGGAGGCTTCAAAGCCTTCTACGTATTAAAAAATTTTATCTGTAAAATGAGAATATGAGGTAATTGCTTTTATGCAAATTTCAGAGACAACATGAGCAAGCTCCCTGGCAGACAGAAGCTGGACGTCCTGGTTCCCTGGCTGCTCCCGCGCATGCCCTCTGTACCCTGCTGGGTTCCACCTGGTCACCCTCCAGTGTAGTCTCCTGGAGGAAGGCATGCCAAATTCCTGACACATGGCGTTTGAAAATACCGTGGAACGTTTCCACTCATGGATTTCACCATGCTTCTCCAATGAGCATTTCAGCAAGCTAAAAATGTGACTCCTCACTCATGAGAACACCACGTCCACATGATTCAGGAGGAGCAATAATGCTGGAACTTTGATCTAATTATCAGCAAGTGCTCTTGAGATTAAATGTCTTAGAATATTTTATAATTTGCTTAGCAGGTATTTATCCTTTAGTGAAAACCAGCGGTCTTAGAAGGGAGCAGCAAAAGATGCTGACAAGTCATTTACATGGCTAAGTGGTCATTCTTGCTGGCCCGATAAATGTCCACTTTTAGGAAGATTAAACCTGAGCCTCTTATAAAACATCAGTTATCTCAGATAATGGTAACAATATAGCTATTTATACTCTGGGTTTTTATTTCCATGCCTTGTGTTTCAACTTCACATCAGGCAGTTTTAAATGAATTAATCCATCTGTATGCTTTTGAATGGAAAAGCCAAAGTAGAGAGAAGTGTATTGTCTTAGATCATTTGACAAATCCAAGTACACTTTTAAAAATCAAATCGTCTTTCTTGTGTTAATAACAAACCCCAAGTGCCTGATCAGCTACTTCATTTTCACGAGGCGGAAATAAAGTTATGCCGCTGATGTTGGGGAGGAAGAGAATTTCCTCAGCTATCCATGAAGAAAGATAAGCGGGGCCTTTTCCACTGGCTGTCTAATCTTACAAAGATCTCATGGAAATTTGGTGGACACAGAGCACAGTTCTTCATCCTTGAAGAACATTTTCCAAAGCACAGATGTTTTTCTCTTAATTGTGAATGCCGGCTCACTTGTCAGCAGATGGTACGATTTGGGACTAGCTTGTTCCTTATAAAGGGCTGATGTTCTTTGCTACGTGGAAAATACATCTTTGGCTAGACAGCAATGAATAAATTATTACACACAAAAATGTTTCCATTTCTGGAATTTCCCTAAGATAAAAATATCTTTCTGGTTTTGGGTATACCTAAGTGACCATGAGGACACTTAGTAAAAGAGAAAATAGATTTTCAATACTTCGTGGTGATGGTGATTATATGGGATTTTAAGTACTTAAAGATTTTCCTGTTGTATCATTTTGGAAACAAAAAGTTGACTCATTTTCTGGTTAATGCTTCAATATTTTCATTAGGGAGTTTCTATAAAGTCTTTATCTGAATCACAGAAAATAGGATTACTTCAGAGGTAGGATACAATTTTGTCATAAACAGCACTGTGTACTAAAACCTGCTATGAGTTTAACAAATCATAAAGAAGTGTAATGCTCAGGAATGCAATATATCAAGTAAAACACTAAAAAGTTCAGCTAATTTAGATAATGCAAGTGTGGAAATACAAGACTGACTAAAAATTTTAAATATTATCATTCCTATTGACATGCTAAATAAGTTTTTGTTGGAGTATTTTAATTTCCTAGCACTTGAATAGCACTTTTTTCTACGAATATTTCATCATTTGGATAAACACATTCTTTTATTTACCATTTGTCAGGTTTTGTATGCTAAATTGCAACTGCTTATATACTCTCATTTATCTCAATGATAAATTAAAATTCTTAGTAATAATCCAACTGACTTGTACAAATCACAAAAAGTACTAATTTAAGCCTTTGGGGGCTTAAATATTTGTGTGTGTGTGTATTCACATGGTGGGAGAAAAAGAACTTTCCAGATAATTGTGAACGGGATACTGTTATTTTATAAGAGTTTAAAAAGCAATATTTCTGTATGACTGAAGTTCCTAATTCATGCTATACCTTTTTTTTTTTTTTTTGAGATGGAGTTTTGCTCTTGCCCAGGCTGGAGTGCAGTGGCGTGATCTCGCTCACTGCAACCTCCGCCTCCCAGGTTCAAGCAATTCTCCTGCCTCATCCTCCTGAGTAGCTGGGATTACAGATGCCTGCCACCACATCCAGCTAACTTTCCGTACTTTTACTAGGAACAGGGTTTCACCACATTGGCCAGGCTGGTCTTGAACTCCTGACCTCCAGAGATCCACCCACCTCGGCCTCCCAAAGTGCTGGAATTATAAGCGTGAGCCACCACATCCGCCCCATGCTTTACTTTTAAGCTAAGTTTGAGTTTTACATGAAAGGCCTAATAATCAGAAAAAGGCTAAAAACTTACTTGCTCAAATATTTTGAGCCTCCAAATCTGGAAAACAGTGTTGAAGTTTGAAACCAATGTCATGCCTACGCTGGGGAGCACAGTACTGAACTGCTGCTTCCTTGTCTGTCTTGGTGAATGCACATGAAGTGCCTTGTAGTCCTCTGAACCCACCGCCACTAGGGACTGCTGTAGGGGAGGAGCTCCCTGCACCTCAGAAGTCAATGTTCATAGTCATCGTGAGCACCGCGAAGTGAAGTTCCACAAGAGACAGAAAGATGAGCCACAAGATGCCCCCAAAGTAGGAGTCATGTTGAAAACTTTCAAAAATGTCTTTGTACAAAATCTACCCAGATTTTTAGAGAACAGGCCAGACCCATAGTGACTTAGGTACTGCCTAAAATGTCACTATATGAGGAACCATTTCAGCAGCATACTGCCCACGCTTCTGTGAGCCAAGGATGTTCCTAGAATTGCCTTCAGCCATACCATCTTCAAGTGAAAATAAGGTTTTATACACATTCTGTGTGACCTCAGGAAATTCCTTCTCTTGTCTTAGTTTCTTTATCTATAAAATGGTGAAGATTGGGACAGGAATTAAATGAGTTAATGTGCCTGGCACATAAGACAAACACTGTGTGAGTTGTCCATTAGTATTATCATCCACTCATAATTTTTGCAGAGAAGCCATCAGCACAAAATAAAATCAATTACAACACAATTTCCTTTCAAAATGTGAAGAGATACCATCTTATAAAAAGGTTCATAGGATCCCCAAATTAGTATTAACTTGGGTTAGATTTATCTACCCTAAACACATGGGGATTCTTCCCAGCTCCCACATTCCTTGTCACCCTAAATGCTCAAGGGGAGTCTTACTGTATTAGAAATGAACTTGCTAATCATGACTTTGGACCTGATCCTTCCAAGGCATGCTTTCCAGGCACAGGACTGGTGAGGAGATGGGTCCCCTCCAAAAAATGCTGAGAAATGGTAGCAAACAGGATTACCTCCTTCAGTCTACTCCCCACTGCCTTCTCTCTGTGGGAGATGAAGTGTTGCTTCCCCAATCCCATGCACATTTGGTTGCTAGGCTGCTGGTGCAACCCTATGATCCAGCATGTCCATAGATCCACATTTCTCCCTCGGTATGTCTTTTCTTTCTGGTCGGTCCTGTCTATAGCTAGAGAATGAGTAAGAAGCATCCATCCACTGTCCTGGCCCTTCATTTCCCATGCCTCTGCTGAGTAAGCTCTGCAGAAAGAACATATCCAGTCAGTAGCTCACACCGCATCACACTCTCAGCCTTCACATGTGAAAAAAACAGCTGCTCAAAGGCGGCTGCTGAATTCCATTTATAAGCCACTCAGCAAGTTATGAAGCTAGAGGGCTCATTTCTGTAGTCACTGTGTTATTATTGTTAGACGTAGTGAACTCCAAGTTTCTCTTCAAAGAATCAGTATGTCAGTATGTTCAGTTCTTTGTCCTCCATATTAAAGTTTAACTTCCTTGTAGTTTCAGTAAACAACCTTTTCCACCAGTTCTATTCAGAGGTTCACATCTGTTCCCCCAGGCCCCTGCTTTGTCCTGACTCATTCCAGTCACCTGCTTTGACCTAGGACACCCCTGGCTACTTACTCTGACCTGCCTGTAATCGTCCTTCCCACCAAACTGCCCACCCTGCCGCTCAGGCTCATACCCCTGCTCTCTTTAAAATAGCCAATCGGGATTAGTCTCACCCTAGCCAGTAGGGGAACAACACAGCAGCAGGAGCAACCTCTGTTAGGAATAAGTACCCTTTTCCTCCCTTGTCCAAGTGTGCACTCACCATTGTTCCATCTGTGAGCTGCACCCTTCGATAGAACTAAATTGCCTTGCTAAGGAAATTTACATTCAAGTGCTGCTTCTCTTGTGGCACTGGAAATTTTACATATAACATTGCTACAGCATATACCGCCCACCTACTGGCTCTAGGAAGTGAGAATGGTACTTTCAGTTCAAATCTTAGTGTCAGGATTTAATATCAAACAGGGAGACGCTCTACACCTTGGCTGCTTGTCTTAGTCAAGCAAGTGAGGGTGTTAGAGAAACTGACCACCCCCTCTAGGCTGACAAGGGTTAGAGCAGATCTCAACTTCTGGAATTTTCAGTTGTGGAACCTTTCCTGGCAAACTATTATTTTAATGTCAATATTCTGGGAGGCAGGCACATTTAAGGCAAGGGAGTACACTAAATCGTAGACACAGTGACTGGCCGAGCACAGTGGATGACACTTGTAACATCTACACTTTGGGAGGCCAAGGTGGGCAAATCACTGGAGGTCAAGAGCCTGGCCGACATAGTGAAACCCCATTTCGAATAAAAATATAAAAATCAGCTGGCTGTTGTGGTGCCTGCCTACAATCCCAGCTACTTGGGAAGCAGGCGCAGGAGAATCGCTTAAACCTGGGAGGCAGAGGTTGCAGTGAGCCAAAATCATGCCACTGCACTCTAGCCTAGGCAACAGAGCGAGACATTGTATCAAAAAAAAAAAAAAAAAAATCATAGACACAGTGACAATGCAAATATTTACTGCTGGTGGCTGGGTCTGTCATTTCCTAGAGGACATAGCTGGCCAGCAGATTTTCATTTCTTTTTTACAAAATAAGCAAATGCCTACTTTATTATTTATACACAGAAAATTATATAGAAACATGCACACTGCTTGAAATGCAAATATTTTTTGGTTTACTCATCAAAGCAAAAAATAACAAAAACCTTATCAGTTAAATAAAAAAGTGACATTCTTTATTTATCAAACCTTCTTAAACACTGAAATGCACTCATTTTTATGCTCATCTTCTTTAGCAATGTCTTTTCTCCCCTTTGCCCCTCATTCCCCTACATTGTTTTAATGAGTTTATCTGTAAGATGAAGGTTGTTTTACCTTTCTTAATGCTACTTACTTTTTATTATCCCAATATCAAGACCAATCTAGATTTTTTGTCTCTTACATGTGAAATGGATGTAAAAATGGAGAATTCACTAGCACATTTTAAGATAACATAAAAGAAGCCCTAAGCAAGCATTTCAAGGCAATGATACACCATTACATTTTTGAAAAGCTTAAGTATCATTGGTACTTAAAAGTAGAACTCAATTCCAGAAGCGTATTCTTATATTGGACATTATTCATAATAGCTAATAGAGCTCATTTCCACAGTACCGATTTCAGATAAGCCATTTTCGTTTTAACAAAACACAAGCAGCCGTAGACATGAAAATTGGATTGTTTTAAAAGGGGCAATGATAGCAAGAGAAAGTTCCTGGCATTTTAAGAAAAGTACATCTACATAGCAAGAAATGAAAGTAAATCAAAATACATAACTTTGTACATGTTAGAAATATCCAATGTGCCACCAACACAACAACTGCCCTATAAAAAAGTGTTCGGGTCTGGAGCCATATCTATTTTTCTTTGTATAACTACATTTGCATTACCCAACCACACATCTCTCCCATGGTCTGTTACCCGTTAGGAAGCTTGTAACCAGAGTTTTTCGAGATATGCTTTTCTTCAAATAAAACAAGCTTTCAAATAAATCATTATGTCTGACAACCAAATTGGGCAAAGTCTTTCTGAAATACATGTAATGTTTAGAAAATTATTTTTTCCTTCATAAATCAGCAGTGCTCCATCTTCAAATAAATCATCATCAGTCACAGTCTTAACTCATGTGCTCATATGTTCTCTTCATCTAACATTTTGTTGATACCATCACATAGTTTTTGTAAGTGGGGTTTAAAATTCCCAAAAGGATTATACAAGGCAGCCAAAAATTCACAATCTGAAAAATGATCAAAGACATTATTAACCCGTCCATGTGACTTGGCGGTGAGGTGACGCTGAATGATTTGGTGTAGCATCTCTCTGCATTCATTTAACAGCTTGGATAACACATTCCGGTCAAAGGTATAATCCACCTGATGGAAACTGACCACGGTCATAGCAAGTTGATGAACTTTCTTCTTAAATTTCTCCATCAATGCTAGCTCATCTTGATTAAACTGATTATTCCTGTAAAGAATGGCCAGCTTGATGACTGTCTTGATGAGGTTCTTGATGATCTTCTCTGCCTCCTTCTTGTTTTGGGTGTACTCCCTGGTCACTCTGTAGAGCTCATCCAGCACCTCACTGCTTGTGTCGTCTATTAAGGTGGTGGCAATGGATTTGGACACCATTTTACCCAAGATCTTCTTCTGTGCCTGAACGGCCAGGTTTTTGGAATTAAAGACATCTGTGGCCACTAAAAAAAAAAAAAAGGAGAAGAAAAGAATTAACAATCAGTAAACATCAGCAAGAGAAGTGAACTAAAAACAGATATTAGAGAGCACTGTTTTTCCTCGTTTTCCCACTATTTGTGGTTTGTCTTCCATTTACTGACATTAGTCTCTGTTCAGAAAAGAATTTTAGGCTGGGCACAGTGGCTCATCCCAGTAATCCCAACACTTTGGGAGGCTGAGGTGGGCGGATCACTTGAGGTCAGAAGTTTGAGACCAGCCTGGCCAACATGGGCGCAGTGGTACATGCCTATAATCCCAGCTACTTCGGAGGCTGAGGCAGAAGAATTGCTTGAACTCAGGAGGTGGAGGTTGCAGTGAGCTGAGATTGCTCCACTGCACTTTAGCTTGGGTGACACAGCGAGACTACTGCTTCAAAACAGAACAAAACAAAAATACAAAATCAGCTCTACACCTGTCATCTGGCAGCAGCAACCAGAAGTAACTTAAATTCATTTAAATGGAAGAATAAATAGTAAAGTCATAATATTGAATAAAATGGCAGATTCATGGAAGCAAATCAAAAGGAGAGCCTTGTTTTATAATGCAGTTGCAAAAAGTCAAATTTCTCAAGCACTGGCCAGCGCCCACCAATTTGCCTGTCCTAACCAGCCTGAATTTCAACCTACAGAAGTTGACTGTCAGAAAGAAGGACTAGGGCCGGGCATGGTGGCTCACACCTGTAATCCCAGCACTTTGAGGGGCCGAGACGGGTGGATCACGAGGTCAAGAGATCGAGACCATCATGGTCAACATGGTGAAACCCCGTCTCCACTAAAAATACAAAAAATTACCTGGGCATGGTAGCGCATGCCTGTAGTCCCAGCTACTCAGGAGGCTGAGGCAGGAGAATTGCCTGAACCCAGGAGGCGGAGGTTGCGGTGAGCCGAGATGGCGCCATTGCACTCCAGCCTGGGTAACAAAAGCGAAACTCCGTCTCAAAAAAAGAAAAAAAAGAGAAGAAAGAAGTACTCCTTGGAGAGCTCACTGTCACTTGCTATTTCTGATGAATGGTCATTGTTCACTTTACATTTTTATACATTTTGGAGAAATAACCTTTTTCGTCAGCTAATGAAATGTGCCACATGAGAAATATACTTTGAAAAAGATGTTGCTTAGAGTTTACTTTTGGAATTATAACTTCTGACAGATCTTTACAATATACATTATAATGGTTGTACGTATCATATAAAAGAGACACTATATATAATCTTCCTAGCCTAGAGCTGGTTAGTGAAAATGCTCAATAAATGTTTATTCTCCAAACCAAGTTTACATTTTATCTACCACTATTCCCCCCACTCCATGCATGCAGCAATCTTTTTTTGCTTTTTTTTTTTTTTTTTTTTTTGAGACAGAATTTTGCTCTTGTTCCCCCAGGCTGGAGTCCAATAGCACGATCTTGGCTCACTGCAACCTCCACCTCCTGGATTCAAGTGATTCTCTTGCCTCAGCCTCCCGAGTAGCTGGGATTACAGGTGTGTATCACCATGCCCTGCTAATTTTGTATTTTTAGTAGAGATGAGGTTTCACCATGTTGGCCAGGCTGGTCTCGAACTCCTGACCTTGGGTGATCTGCCCACCTCAGCTTCCCAAAGTGCTGGGATTACAGGTATGATCCACTGTGTCTGGCCCATGTAGCAATCTTTAAGCTACTCCTCTACAACTGTGCTTTCTCCTGCTTCTCCAAAGGATTAAGAACTGCAATTCTTCGGGTGTCTACTCCATCTCTGAGTCAAGGGACAAGTGTTTTCTCCATATATGCCAGTGTTTAAGCCTAGTCCTGGGTGTTGGAAAGCAGTCATTTTGTAATGAAAAATAAAAAGCTTAAAAATACAGATACATACAAATGAGTCAAGGCATCAATGATAATATAAGATTATTTCTAGTTTGGATAGGCTAGTATCATTAGGAAGCAAAAAGGCAGCTGCTTCAAAATCCAGGCTGGGAGGACATATAAGAAGAGTGACCCTTAATGCAGAACTGCCATGTTGGATTTAACATTGGGGAAAGGCTGGTGTGGTGGCTCTCACCTACATAATCCCAGCACTTTGGCAGGCCAAGGTAGTGAGAGGATCGCTTATGCCCAGGAGTTTGAGACCAGCCTGGGCAACATAGCAAAACCCCATTGCGGCAAAAAACTACAAAAAAAAAAAAAAAATTAGCCAAGTGTGGTGGCATGCACCTGTAGTCCCAGTTACTAGGGAGGTGTAGGTGGGAGAATCATCGGAGCCTGGAAAGTTCAGCCCGCAGTGACCTGTGACTAAACCACTATACTCTAGCCTGGGCAACAGGGTGAGACCCTGTCTCAGAAAACAATTAAATTAAATTAAATTGAGAAAAAGAAGAACCAAATTAAATTTGAAAAATTCGGACCAAAGTAGTTCATAGTATATAGTATAGGTAGCTCAAAATGGTTCCTTATGACCCAAGTGTCATTTAAAAATACAGTGTCATACATCCTTTAAAAGAATGTCTCGATCGAATGAGAAAGGGTGTCTTCACAAATGTTGATATTTAAACTTCTGAAACATGAACTGAAACTGCAGAACTAAAATATATTTTGAAAAAGAGAAGGAAAGTGAAAATGTGTGAGAAACAGCCAACTTCATGTAGAAGTTTCCAAGTTCTTTTATGTTTTTATCGTTTAAGCAGAAGTCCGTTTCTATTTCTGTTCTTCAATGACTTGCAAACGAGTTTAAAAATTAAGTCACACTAAAGAATTTATGTCAAAAGAAATGGCACACATGTAGCTAACTGTATCATATTAAAACCACGGACCATCTTTCATCTCAGAACTCCTGATACAGACCTCAAAAAAAAATCAACTAACTTGATTTATATAGGGATGCCCAACCAATTTCAGCTGCACAGCAAATAACTAGGATTTCAGTAATACGTTCCATATAAAGTTGAAATGTTACTGTGTTTTTAATGTTTAAGAACATGGCATAGTCTACAAATATCTTACCTGGGATTTACTACAAGTCTATCAGTTGGACATACTTTATGTTGTGAAATACTGAAACCAGAGGGAGAGGTATTCATAGTATTTCTCCTTAATCCAAGGCTGGACTTTCAAGTTTGCACCTCTTCTCAGCTAAGTTTCTGATTAAATCTCAATGTCGCATTCAACTTCAAATATGGAAAACAAAAACTCTATCATACAGCACTTCAAATTCCTGCAAGAGATTGTGTAAAAGGCATATCTACTGCCAACTAAGCAAGATCATTCCCTGTTTACTGGTAATCAAGTATGAACCAAGATAGAGAAGTTGATCTCTGAGGCTTTCATATTTGTCTTAGAGGAACTTCAAATCCTGATCCAGAAACACAGCAGCTGTGTCACACTTTCCTTTTATCCTTTGTATTATTCCAGTGAAGTCATCTTTTTAAGTGAGGTTGAAGCTCTTTGTCCCCCTCCACCATCTGAAGTTCTTCTCCTCCTCCACCAAGAAGAACATGCATGAGTAGATTTATTTTCCAGCATTAGAGAAAGCTTTTCTGGAGCCAACTGGGGCTTGTGGCTGAGAGTCGCTGGCCAGGGATGTGTGGTCTGTGCTCATGAAGTATGTTTCTTTTTCTTGCAAATTAACTGCTGTTAGCCATTCCTGTTCAGGCTCATTTGTCACTTCCACACACTCTACCAGATCCCTTAAAGGTCTGTTGTATCTTACAGCTAGTCCTGGACCAAGTTTTTCTCCTTCAGTCTATCCTCACCCCTGTGTGATCTCATCCACTCCCACAGCTTCAGACACCACCCATGAGCCAATGACTCCCATAGTTATAAATCTGCCCTGACCTCCTTTCCGGACTCATTTTGTAAATGCATTCAAGATTTTTCTTTTCCTTGGCTATTGTGCAGGCATCTCAAATGTATCAAAACTGATCTCTGATTCTCTCCCGCCTTCCCACTAAGTGTTCCTCTGTCACTCTTTATGATCTCAATTAATAGCATCCCTTCCAACCTTTTGTTCAATCAAATCAGAGACCTGGGGATCTTCCACCATACCATTCTGTCTCTTACCCAGTCCATTATTAAGTTCTTTCCATTCCACCGTCCTCCCTCATTTCTCTGAGTTCTATCCATTTCCCTCCATCTCCATGGGCAGTTGCCTAGTCCAAATCCCTTTCCATCTCTTTTCACATACTAGCCAGAGTTTTAAAAAATGAAATTTGCAGATGGGGCCAGGTGCAGTAGCTCACACCTGTAATTACAGCACTTTAGGAGGATAAGGTGGGAGGATCACTTGAGTTCAAGAGTTAGAGGCCAGCTGGGGCAACATAGCAAGATCCTGCATCTACAAAAAACTTATAAAAGAATTAGCTGGGCATGTAAGTCCTATCTACTCAGGAGGCTGAGGTGGAAGGACTGTTTGAGCCCAGGAGTTCAAGGCTGCAGAGCTGCAGTCAGCTATAATGACGCCACTATACTCCAGCCTGGGTGAAAGAGCAAGACTCTGTCTCAAAAAAGAAAAGAAAAAAAAAGATGCTCCATTTAAGTTCTTTGCTAACTATCACACTTCCTTGTTCCTTAAATCCTCATCATTTGCCTACATTTTTATTGTCTGCCTCTCCCTACTAGGATTTAAACTCTGAGAGCAAAGATTCTGTAATATCATGTTCACTGTGTCATCTTGCAGGCCTAGAGAGTGCCCGGTACAGAAGCAGAAATCAATTTCCCCTATCTCATCCACATATACTTAAATACTTCTCTATGAAAACATGTTGGCCTATACAATGAGAGTTGTAAATACATTAGTGGGTGTTTTTGTTTGTTTGTATTAAAAGGTAGAGAAACAGTATTTGTTTCACCTCACTAAACATGTGGTTTTCTTCCAAGTGCACTCCAGAGTATAAATTTCTCTTACTGTCATCAACCAGTTCTTTTAAAAAGGAGAGATTCGTTGTGCACAATGAGGAAACATCCAAGGACAATAACGCAAATATTTAGAGTAAAAGCAAG